AGCTCCTCTTGAATACTCAGCATGTTTCAAGCCAAACAAATTATAGTACGAGGTTTGTGTTTAACGTCGAAACAAGGCATAATACCAAAAGATTAATTTTACTTTTAATATTACGTGGCATTGAAGAGAAGATCAATTGGTTAATTTAGGCACCAAAATGGATATTAGTAAGAAAAAATCTAGGGTAACTTGTGATATTTATCAGGAGTCATTTACACATGAAAAAAACATGACAAGACACCGAAATACAATTCAGGATAATCGCAAAGATTTTGCATGCGACAACTGTATAAGAATATTTGTGCGAAAATCGGATTTATTCTTTCACATAAAAACAGTTCACGATGGTCGAAAAGAATACTCATGCGACACGTGTGAACAGAAATTTGGAAAAAAATCACAATTGATTAGACACCAAAGGACAGTCCACGAAGGTGGCAAAGATTTCCCATGCGACAACTGCGAAAAGAAATTCGGAGAACGAGGTAATTTGATCAAACACCAAAAAACAGTACACGAGGGTCGCAAAGATTACGCTTGCGATAAATGTGAGTAGAAATTTGGAGAAAAATCTAAATTAATCAGTCACCAAAAGACAATGCACGAAGGTCGGAAAGATTTTGCTTGCGATCGTTGCGAGAAGAAATTTTTAAGAAAATCAGATGTATTGAAGCACCAACAAATAGTACATGAAGCTCAAATAAATTTCAAATATAACATATTTGAGCATAAATTTGGATCAAAATCGCAATTGATTAGACATCAAATGACAGTTCACGATGATCGCCAATATTACCAATGCGACAGGTGCGAAAAGAAATTTGGACGAGAATCGAGCTTGATCTCTCACCTGATGACACACGAAGACGTAACCGAAGATCTTAAAGATTACGCAAGAGACAAGGGTGGGCAGAAATTCGGTGAACCAAGAAATTTGATCAATCCCCAAAAGACACTCCACGAAGGTCACATATATTTCGCATGCGATGAGAGCAAAGAGACATTTGGGGGTCAAATGAATTCGGTTAGACACCAGAAAGAAGTCCATAGAGCCCGCAAAGACTATGCATGCGACAAGTGTGAGTAGAAATTTAGGATTGCAAGTGGTTTGATAAGGCATCAAGAAATAGTCCACGAATACCGTAAAGATTACCCAAGCAACGAGAGCAAAAAGAAATCTGATCCTCCATCGATTTCGATCAGACGAAGAAAAAAAAGCAAGAAAATCCGAAAAGACAAACTTTTAGATAGGTGCTATAATTGTCTGGTTTGCAGATACAATAGACTTTTGTCCAAAAAAAAAGTTGGAGCAAAGGCAAAATAGCTCGCAACGTGTGAAAGTGAAGATATTTCACGAGATTTTTCATAATAAATCGCCGGCATGCGCAGTTGAATATAATATCGTGTAAGATGATAATTAATCTTTTTGAAAATGTAAATATTTTAATTTATTTATACAAATGACTAGAACTTTTTTCAATCAGACGAATAGTTTTTCAGTAAATAACATGTAACTCGAAGCAATGTAGTAATTAAAAGCGGTCGTATTTTTCTTGACAAGAGCAAAAAATGAGAAAGTTTCTAAAATAAAAATTTTGTCATGTTTTGACAGTGTCTTATCTTAAACTGTATGCTACTTATCAATTTTCTTTCCTGTCTACTGTTTAGTGTTGATATTATCTTTTTACACTAAACGAAACTTTGAGTACTATAAGAAAAAACGAAATTATTGGTGTTGGCAACTTTGATCCCAACATTTTTTTAGTTTTAAATAGAATAGCTTCTTGATTGTTTTGACCAAAAGATTGCGTTTTCTTCGCCATTATTAAGAAATTAACACATATTTCGAATATTTTTTTCAAATGAGAGATTCGTACCTGTTTTATTCATATTATATTTCATAAAAATAGAAGGAAACTCTTTGTCAAGGAATTGGCAGTGGGTCTTAAAAATAAATACACTTAAGACGTATCCTGGTAAAATTTATTACTAATCATGTTTTGACTTATAATTTTTACTTTGCCACTTGCAGATTTACAGGTAAAGGCACTCGCCATCTAGCAGCGGAGGCTTGAAATAATCGGTGTATGAAAATTGGTTAACATTTTTTGAAACAATCAAATTGCTGTTTTCAGCTGATTTAACAGTATCATAATAATCTTTAAGACATTAGGTCAGTATTAATGTTGATCATTTTTACTAAGATATTAATATTAAAAATCTTTTCTTTTTTTATCAAAATACATGACCTCAAATTTTTTCAAATTTTTTAATTGAAGGCGATAGCTTCTAGGGTCGAAAAATGCTATTTTTAACAAAAAAAAAAAAGGTTCCTGGAACCCGATGGTTCCGGTAAAACAATTTGAAAATATTTTTTTTGAATTCCTTGACAAATTTTAATAAATTTTGACCGTTTCAGAATTCCGATTGAAGCCTCCTAGCTCAATCTATAGCATCAAAATAGTTTTATCGTTTCTTAATGTCTTCAGAAATTTGCATTAATCTTTGTCCTGCTCCACGTGGGTTTCAAAATAAGTAAATGTGCCACTTGTCCACGAGAAAAATTACATTATTGAAGCGATTCACGAGGTTTTTTCGAGATAACCTCAAAGCATCAAGTTTCACCTGAACGGACACAAAATCCGGTCTATTCGAAATACCTGGAATTTTTATCAATCAGAATTTAAAAATTAAAAATGAAATGAGTTGAATTTCACGACTCATGAAAAATGCCACAAATTTAAACGTTTTTGTACGAGCTCGTGTTTGTTTATGATTAAAAATTGTTGCCAAGACAAGAGCAAGTTGCGAATTCAATAAAAAAAATTATTAATTATTGCAATTTGCAAGTTTTCCCATGAATATTGTGTAGTCAAAAATTATCAGATTTACTCAAATACGTTTTTTCAGAGGCCTCATTTTGTTTTTCATCACGTGCGAGTGTCGAATTTCAAGTTACGTGTTCATAACCAACACAAAAAATACGCTTTTAATCTATCAAGCAAGTCTCTTTACATTTTTTTAATTCGGATTAAAGCAATTGTTTTTTTTTTACAATTATTGTAATAATTTTTTATTATTTCATTGTCCACAATTTTTAATCATCGACTGTTTTATCAATTCTGATATCAGATTCGAAAAGATCATCGAATTTTACTTTTCAAACGATTATTAATCGTTTCTCGGGATTTTTTTTTTTCATAAATAAGTACCGAAAAAAGTGTGTAGAATTTCGTCTTTTAATAATGATTTTAAAAGCACTAAGATATTAAAATTTTCAGGATCTAAACGACGCGTCCGCGAGTGTAACATAAACGGCAGTTGGTAACTACCGTCGGTACTTTTATTTTCCTACGACACCAGTATACCCATAAATTATTACAAATAAAGTTATGTAAAAAATCAATTCTCACATGAACAATATAATTTTACAGAAACTCAAACTGGTCGCACAATCAAAGACTCCCGCGCTGAGGAAGTAGTGGGTCGGCGGCAGCACTACGCAGAAGTTAGCGCACGCTCCGCTCCCGCCACAACACCTACTCGCGTCTTCACTGTATATTATTTGCTGTAGTAAGCCGCTTGCACCCCCTTCCCGCTCGAAAAAGACCATCAATGATCAATCGCGTGGAGAATCACTTTTCGTCCCACTCTGCACAGCCAGCGTTCAGTCCAGTTTCGACTCTAATCGCGGACGCAGGTTCCAACTTGTTCCAAGGCCAAGCCAAGTGCGTGCGTGCGTTTCAACCAATTTATTAGCCTCTCTCGACTCTCGGTATAGGGCGCACGTGTGCATATAAGTGGTGAAATTAGAAACGAATTGCGTTGAAGGTCGATTGTTTTGTTGAGACCGGTTGTGCGTCGTCTCGTCCTCTTCGCTTTCGTGCCTATTTTTTTTTGTTTTTTTAAAGAAACTCTATCGTATCCGATCGTCAAGATGTCACTTGACGTGGTCAATCAACAAAACGTTGCTGTCCAACAAGTCCAACCTCCTGCACAGCAGGAAGTCAGGCCCGTAAGTAGTGCGCAATAATTATGGCATCTTATTCACTGTTTTATAACCATGAAATTAGCTTGAAGTTTAGTTATCTGGAAACCAGTGCTTTGCTTTTACTAACAATTGTATGTATTCATTTCTGTTGCAGATAAGGGAAAACAATTTTCCCAGTGCCCTTGATAAGGACAACTGGAAATACCCTATGCGCAGAGTTGCCCAAGAGATCTGCCCAGGTGTCTTTTTAGGACCTTACTGCATCGCAACGTCACAGAGCCTTGACTATTTGACTGAAAGACAAATCACTCACATCATTTGTGTACGTCATTCGGTGGAGGCACGCTTCATCAAGCCCAACTTTGAAAATATGGAAAGATTCACGTAAGTTGTTCACTTTCAATACCTGCATTTAATTTTATGAAATCATCATCTTTTTGATTGCGCTAATTAGACCATTTATTACTGTTAGATATATGACTTTGAATATTGCGGATGTTGGATCAGAGAATATCATAAAACACTTTAAACCAGTTAAAGCGTTTATTGATGCAGCTCTTGCAGCCAATGGACGTGTGCTGATTCATGGCAACGCAGGAATTTCCAGATCCGCTGCGCTTGCAATAGCTTATATCATGGAAACTTATCAGCTAACTTATGAGTAAGCAGTTTTTTTATCACTCATTATTGTTCAATCATTTTGATTATTATATATTTATATTTATCTATGATTTTCAGCGAAACTATAAAAAAAATGCAATTAATAAGATACTGCATTAATCCAAATGATGGATTCGTTTGGCAACTAAAGGAATATGAGCTGATTTATAGAGCAGCATTAGGATGTCAGCCAGGAAATCATCACAATTCAAATAAGCGATCAATATCTATGGTAGATGACAGTGAAACTCAAAATCAAAATCGGATCTTTAAATCTGAACCAATGGAAGAATAAGTGCTCATAAATTTAAAAAAGTACTCAAGTTCTTCTGGATGATTACAATTAAACTATTATTAGTTTTGAATTATTGAGCAGTAGAACAAATCATTTTCAATGATACTTTATAAAAGGCTATATTTGAAAATTATTTTAGTTATTTCAACAAGCTAATACTAAATTCAAAAAAAAATCTGTAGTGTGATAATGAAAAGCTTCTAAATTTACAAAAATAATCTTAAATATGTTAGTAGTGTGAGTTAATTGATGTTGTAAATTGAATAGTATTAGAATATATTTTTCTAACTACAGATAAATCATTTAAAAAATTGGAGTTGATAAGACAGTAGCAAAATAAGAATCACGCATTCATCTTTGCACTCTAGTTTACTTAAATTTATATGTTAAATTAAAAACTCATTGTGAATATAACATTTACTGTAGATCAACAAGTTCAATGCTTCGACCATATTCTGCGATATTAACTGCATAATATTATTGCTAAGTACAAGTAGAAACTAGTGTTAGCATTTTATACCTTTTGATAAAATTTTTTTAACTAGACCATAAGTTTGTCGTTTAGTTATCAGAGTATCAACATGTGTAAGCGCGAAAGGAAGTATTATTAGTACTAAAAAATTACTTAGTAATAATAAACGCAATACTCAACCACGAAGTTGACAATTTTTATCAAGTTTAAATGTGTGATTGTTTCACTGTAAAAAAAAAAAAGATGGAAAGAAGTTGTGCATATTTTTAACGACTGTTGACATAATTTTAATGTGAGAAATATAAAATATGGTATATCGCCATACACTCCTCGACGATTCCGAGTCATTTAATACCTCAATGTAAAAAACCTCCAAAATGTAGTAATTACGACAGGGACAATATTCAAGTCACGTCTTCAATTCGATGAACGTTAGGAGAGATGATAAGTGCTATGGCATCGTAAGGACTGTAATTACGATCTCGTCATCGCAATATCAAAACTATCTGCTCGTAATTTTATGAGGATATAAATTGTTAAAGCCATTTTTTTGAATATATTTTTTTAATGATTAATTTATGATTAAATTAAATACAAATTCATTGAATCAGATTGAACAATAAAACGTATTAAACATTATCTAATAGACACCGGAAATTCCACGCAAACGATATTGTCGTTGTTTTCGTCCTTCAGTTCCCATCTCACTTTGACGGATACCTGTCAAAAAAAGTTCATATATTTTTAACTTCGATCCAACCAAAAAATTGTCAAACGTTCAGTACCGTGGGATAGGAGTGAAGAACCGGAAGCGTTGCGTGATAATTCGAAGCCACCCCGGGCTCGAGCGGACAGCCGACCTTGGACTGAGGATCCTGGCAGGCCTCGGCGTTCGGTAGCGGAAACGGCACATCCAGCTCGTCGACGATCCCGTGAACTATCGCCGTCACCTTTTCGCACCTTTTACCTGTTTTACCGGAATCGTTTTTTGTTTTTTTTGTTATTCAAAAATTCTACCCACGATTATGAGAATGAATCTTACTCGGGGTGAAGTGGAGATCCAGCGAGCCGTCGTGGCCCTTTCTCAAGACGCACGAGTGCGAGGACGCATCGCACTTGGCGACTTCCACTCGGTCGAACGAGCCTGCGGTCGATCCTATACGAAATCATTTTTAAATCTTAAAGTAAATAATCCTAGTGTGAAAAAAAAATCGTTAATAGGGCATTACCGCAATCCCGGAACTCGACGGCACCGACGCAAACTGCGCAGAGGATCGACAAAGCCAATCGCAGCATGTCTCAACTACTGACTGCATTTTTTCGAAACGAGCCACGATGTTGAATTATTAATAATACACCACAGTGGCAAAGACAATGTCCCATTATATGAAAATATTGCCAGAGTCATGCACCGCTATTATGTTGTCTCGTTCGCGTAAAATTAATTATACGTAATCAAGTTTGGCGTGTATTATATTGTCACTTAATTTTCGAGTATGTTCTATAAATTGAGCCGATGCAACGCGAGGAGGCTCAACAATCCTTCTCATTTTATTTTTTTTCCAACTACGTCAGCTTCTGGGAATTTCTGAACCTTCTTTTTTTCATTATTTCTCAAGGAATTGGAGTTCCTCGAATTGGTTTTCTATAATAAAAAATGAAGACTAGAATATAAGTCTGCATAGCAACAATTGGATTCAAATTTTTAATCAATTTACTTTTGTTGTGTTGTGTTTTTGTTTTGTTTCTGTGTTCTTCATTTCTTTTTTTTTCTTTTATGGATGACTTTGAATGAATTTCAAGTGATGAACTGCACAGAGGCATTTCTTAAACCTTCTTAACTAGATGTAAATAAACGTTCTTGTAAAATACTTATGTAAATACTGATGGTGTGAATGTATTTTACCTGAATTACTTTTCAATGCTGTTCCATAATGCTTTGTTGCTAGTTAATAACTACAAACATTCATTACAAATGATAATTATGTGAGATCGCCATGAAAAGTATTTTTGAGTTTAAAAGAGTTGTTTTATGTTTGCTAATGAAATAACACAAATTAATGAATTATATTGAAAATTTTATTGATGCAATAGTTTCTGACAATTCATAGAAATAATACTCTTGTGTATTATCAATTTAAAAAATAAACTTATCATTTACACATATGTACAAAATATTTTAAATATTCTAACATTATTTGACTATCTTAAAGAAATTTTCATCTTCACAAGATCTTTGTTAAAATCTTTATAAGAAAATGAAACAATATAAAATCTTTGAGACATAACAATCTCCTCATTTAACTTTACCATAACCACCTGTTAAGCCACCTTCCTTGTGTTTTGCCTGATTCCTTTTCTTCTTTGCTGCCTTTCCGTCAGCTTTTTTCTTTTTTTTGGCTGCCAGAAACTCTTTTCTCGATTTTAATTTTTTCTTGATTGAAATCATTTCGTTTATCTTTAAATCCTCTTTCTTTCCGAGTCTAGCTTGCTTTTCTTTTTCAATTTTATTTTGCACTTGTAATTTCTTATAATTTACGTTGTAGTTTCTTGGTGGCTTGGCACCCAATTTGATAAGTAGCTCTATTTTTTTTTGGCGAGCTTCCTCTTTACTGGATCCGCTAATGGCAAACTTCAGGACCTCATGGCGAAGCCTTTTCATTTCCTTTTCCGCTTCCTCCTTGCTCAAAACTTGCTCTTCTTCCTCTTTTTGCTTTTCATCTTCACTGGTTTTTTGCTTCTTTTTTCTGCTCTCAAAAGTCACAACTTCAAAATTTTCTGCATTCACCTTCATTTTAGGAGCTTTTTTAGATAACCCTGCCATGATGACTGAAATAAAAAAGAAAATAATGAGTCTTATGCTTCAACTTACTTCTACCGGCAATTTGTTGTTGATGATTGTTGCGTAGACACATGTTTCTGCACTCAACATAGTAATGATAATTTACTTACGTATTATTTGTTTTCAATTTTGTCTACAATGTAACATAAACACGTTGTATGTTGTCAATTCAGCAGAAGGGAAACACGTGGTTATGGGCTCTACCGTCTACAACGCAGACTGATTCGAATATCCAACCTATCGACGCATGTGTTATGTTGTGTCATGTGACTCGCTGCCACTCGGAATATTTGACCGTTGCGCTACTAAAAAAAAATACAATATTTGTTAGAAACAATGACTAAATTATTTCCTTCATTTAATTATTTTCAATGTGAACATGAAGAGCACGTAAATACTCTAAAGTCTATCAAAGGTCGAAGAATTTTTGCCTGCATTTTATTGTAAAAATTCATAGTTTGAAGTTCGAACGCGGTCGAGTGGAGGGAGCTCTCGCATGGGAATTCGTTCGATTCAAAAATTCGTTCTGCGTATGTCATCGTATCGTAACGGATTATTTTCAAGACGTGCGGTTTGAACAGTGCACAGCTAAATGCATATTGTTTACATCTGTTAATTTGTACTGTGTCGGTATTTTCTTCGATTTTTTATTAAAATAACCTTGTAGAGTATGTACCACGTTAGTTGGTAAAAAATCTTTTACACGAACCTCTATTAAATCATCTCTTTTGAATAACAGATTCTAAGCATCATGGACATATTCATATTCGAAAAGAGTTTACAAGAACGACAATCGGAATATCTGAATATTCTGTCAAACACAGAAGAGAATGAGGTGATTCCATCCTCAAAAATTTTCGGCGAGTGGATGCTCTACATAGACGTAGTGATAGAGCCAACCGGGTGGCGTGCCCTTTGGAAAATTCCCCGTTTGACGTGCGAAGAATTCAAGATTCGCTATCCCACTATTGTTGCTGTAACAGTCAAGCACCTCGAGCTGTCAAATCTCACGGCTGTGGTTGACATTGTAGCGGTTCAGGATGATATTCATTTGCCAGAAACATGCGACGTTCCCTTGAAGGAGCTCTACCCAACGAAGGAACAAGGAAACATTGTTTTGGATATTGAGCGTACAGCTGAATGCCTTGATCAATTGCGTTTCTTTTATAATTACTTGTGGAGGCCTTGGGATATTGACGATGATCATAGCATAGGATGGTGCGAGGCTCATTTGGAAGACAGATTGAGACTATTTTACGATATGAAATTAGGAAATGTTAGTGGTAAAACGTGTGACGTTGTCAGAACATTGATGAGAGAGAGCAGAGACATCGAAACAAGAATTGCTCAGTTGGAAGAAGAAATGACTGACTCTTTGTCCGAAGAGAGTGAAGATGACAGCGAGGAAAGTAAAAAGAATGAAATGAGAACTTCTGAACTACTACGATTAAATTTGCGTTTGAGCCATATAAAAACAGAAATGGAAGTATTAGAAAATCCAGAGATGAGAGATATGTTTGTAAAAAACCATACTTTCAATGGTAATGAAGGTGAAATAAAAAGAAGAAAAAGTAGAGGTCAACAAAGGGAAGCTTACTTCATTTGGCTGGGAGGGTCATTACAAGACACAATAGAAGCTTTCAAATCTTGTCAAGATTTTTTACCTGCTAATATATTTACAAAGTAATTGCAAAAGTTTAAATCTAAAAGTTGAATATAATTTTGATATGCAATGATGTTATTTAATTTGCAATAATTTTACTTTACAGAACTTCTAACAATCTTCAGGAAGCCTTGGATGTTTCTAAAACAGAAGACATTATCGTTATCGGTGTTGGTGAACACAATATTCTGAGTGCTGGTAACTTGGAAAATGGAGGAACAATCAGAGGTTTAGGTAAAACAGAATCAGTCATTGTGGCTCCAAAAGAGACTGAAGTAGGACCTTGTGTATTAGATTTTTCTGGCCAAGAGGTAAAATTAATTTTTTTAATAAATGAGTTTAATTGAAGTATGAAAGAATCCTTTATTAATGTGAAATTTATATTGTTCTAGACTGTTCTGGAAAATTTGACAATTAACTTAAAAAATTTACAATTTGGAATATTGGCAAGAAAAGGAACTCTGATTTTAAAAAATTGTTGTTTGAACATTACAAATGAAAGTGTGACGAAACATGGTATTATTGTTTTGCCTGGTGCAAAACTTATTGCAAAAGAAACAAAATTCATTGGTTTGGGTACAGGACTTGTTGTACACAGTGAAGCTCAAGCTACATTGATGAATTGCAGCTTTGAAAATTGCTACGAAGGAATTCAGGTGATTATCCATTCTGAATTAAATTATATTCCATTTACATAAAATCCCTAACAAATACAATTTATTTTTAGTTGAATGAAAAATCAAAATTGTCTGCTACTGGATGCATATTCACTGACTGCAAAGAATATGCAATACGTCAAGAAGTTGATGAACTAAACAATTCCCTCATCAGAGTTGGTGATGTTGATTTATTAAGCCACATTCCTGATGTATCAGTAACAAATTGCACATTCATCAATATTGCTATGGGTAATGTGCATTTAAGCTCTTGTTCAGATAGAGTTTTACCAGTAAAACCAGAGGCTATGAATATTCAATAGTATATTTTTTTTGATAAAAGATTTTATATAAAAAAAGACTCGTAAAATTAAAAAATATCGTATTTCTTTATTTAAGTTTGTAAATCTCAACATCTTCAAGTCATAATACTAATTACAAAATTCGTTAAATGAAGGATTCAAAGATGTAAACTTGCTTATAAATACGTAAAAGGTATCAATACGTAAAAAGTACTTAATCAGACTCTTTATAAAACTAGAAAATTGACTCCCGCTCAAACTGTCTTTTTCAAAAAATATACAAGGTTCCGGATTAGTTGCCGTTTGAACGAGCAACAAAGTAAACAAAACTCTCTACTGTGTTATTTTCATTTTTTCCTCCTGCAGCAGGAGCTGATTTTTGATCTTTTGTAGCAGCTCTCTCTTGACGATGTCGGGAACACGGCTGCGTGCTCTAGTCGTGACTTTTGCTAGCAACGCGTCGTAAGTTATGTCCTGGCCGTTTTCCTTGATGATCTCTTTGCACATCAGTTTGACCTCGTCCTTCCAGCCGCACTCGACCAGACGGCGCCTCAGCAATTCTTTCAGGCTGCAATATGATAATTTTTTCATCAATATTTGATGCAATGCCTTTCAGGCTGCAATATGATAATTTTTTCATCAATATTTGATGCAATGCCTTTCAGGCTGCAATATGATAATTTTTTCATCAATATTTGATTAATCTCAATGTTTGTTGACAAGTTGGTTTTGTCATTTGAAAATGACCATAGGAAAGAAATAGATGAAGGTTATTATCTTACCTGTCACGATCACCAGCCTTTACCAGGGTGTGTTGGGTGGAATTCTTCATTGTGACTTTTTGTTTATCAATTGCAGTAACACAATATATGACGCAAGTATTGTATTCAATTGTTTACAAGAAAATCTCAAATGCACAAGTGTTGGCACTAGCTGATCTCAGTATTGACTGACAATCTCACTCTCGTCTGCATTTGTTGTGGTGCTGAAAGTGAAGTTATCTTTCTTGTGGTGCCACCTACAACGAAAAATATCAGCCGTCGGTCAGGTCAGAACTCAGCTGAGTCATGAAATTAGTGAGTGTGGCGGGAACTGCTTATTATTGCAATAAATAATTGATAATTATTGCGTGGAATAGTGTTGAACCGTCCTAAATTAGTTAAACGAGCGTGTTTAATGAATAAATGAATGCACAATTCCATAAAAAAATGCATGTGCATTATATTTGTTATTTATATTTTTTTTTAATAAATATTTTTATTGAGGCAAATGATTTAATTAAAAACCCCACTTTTATTTTATCATGATAACATTTAAAATAATTATAAAAAATACCAAATTAACATTAATTATCGTTTATCAGATCAATTTCGTTCTATCTTTTTCCTCTAGATGGCATTGTTCCGATATTTTGATGATTAAAATTTAAATGTCTCTAGTTTAGTGTGGTTACTACCTAAGTAAACTGTGTTAGTGAAGTGAAAGTTTCATAGTTTTTTACTTTGAAAATAAAAGAAAATTTGAAGATTTTACTTGTCAATCATAAAACCCAAGTATGTATTTTATTCTCATTCATATTATGTCACTTATGAGATTTAAGAGTAAACATTAACCTCAATCTGCAGTTGCAAGCATGAGGCTTGCTGGTCAAATTGTACACAGTGGCTGCACATGTGCATCAAAAGTCACATTATATTTTCATTTATAAAACTCATTGACACTTTGGAAATAAACTCATTTTTGTTTTAAAAGTATGAAATTAGTTAACTACTGTCACGCCTCAATTAATTATGAAACTGCCAAGAAATACTCTGTACTATAAATCAAGCTCAAATTATAAATGTGCTAAATGAAACAAAACATTCCAATTTTCAGGTGTTTTTTTGATTCTGCTCGACACTGTGCTCTGTAACCAGCCTCTGCCAAGTTTAGCATTTCTTGTCATCAATTAAGTGAAGTGAAATTCATAATGGTTGAGACTTCTGCAGCGCTGATTCAAGATAGCTCAGACACTCAGACGCAATTTGGCAATGCTCGACAATTGGACCCATCCGACAGCATTTTTGTCTTCAAGGATACTTTGTCAGACTACGAAGAACCACCATCGGACGACGAAGAGGTACAAATATACTTTTACTTCTACTGGCAGGTCTATCACCTTGCTTTATAATTTAATAATACATATGAGTTTGTCGAGTAGACATGCCCAATGCCAGACACACACACTTGAGTATCCCCTCGCTTCAGAGAGTCATTCAACAAACACTAAACGGTTTCATTAACAAAAGTAACAAACAATTATAAAAAGACCCCCTAATTGCCATTGCCAGTCATAAAATATAAATCATGCATTCCCACAAAAATAAAAAATGTGCCTGCACGTGTGTGCACATATTACATTGGTTGCAGCTCTCTCTCAGGGTACTGCTATAGGTGGAGAATCGTCTTCGGCATTACCTAATTGAGAAACGGCGCGTGAAAGATTTACACGGTATAAAACGCGGTTCGCGCGCGAGGCATTGTTGCAATAAATCATGCTACGAATGCCCCGCCTTTCTCAAAAAAGAGACCCCAAAGAGTGAAGAGTGTGCGTATATGTGTGCAAGCTCTCTTCTCTCTCTCTCTCTCTCTCTCTCTCTCTCTCTCTCTCTCCGCACAATGGCAAAACGTCGACGGCGGCGGCGGCGGCATTAGTACAAACGCGCGCGCGAAACGACGAAAATAATTTCCTTCTCTCTTTTCTCTTATAGGCTGCTGCACCTCTGCTGCAGCAGCGAAGAGAAGTGACCGTTTCGCGAAAAACGATCAATCACGCGTCGCGGCTATACATCTCGCGAATACTAGTAGTAGTAGTAGTAGTAGTAAATAGTAGTAATATAAGGGGGGAGAGGGAGGGGGCTTTTAAAGACGACTGGTCCGCTAAAATTAGCGGATCTCATCGGGCGGGCAGTGCACGCAGCAGCCTCTTTATTATAGAGAGAGAGAGAGAGACTCGGCTACGAGACGCTATATACATCGCGCAAGCTCGATTCTTTTTCTCTCTCTCTTCCCGCAAGCTCGACTCTTTTACGCCGCTCTCGCGCTCCAAAAAGTACGCGGCAGCGGTAGTACAATGATGACCTTTGGCTGAGAGGGGAGGGTAAAAGGCTCGTTAACGCTGGCATGCGCGGGGCGTCGTGCCTTTGACAATCGCCGTCGTCATCCGCAATATTTGATCGCGTATTACCGATCCGGCACAGGACTATCGAATGAATCAAAGGCAGCTTTAAAAATCATTCCGGGCAGGTGTCCATCCGTCGTCTATATCCACTCCCTCTCTCTATCTCTCTCTCCTATGCTCGAAACTCGTAACACGAAATGCCAAATATATCTGCTTCAGCTGCTTCTGCTGCTGCACTTTGACGTATTCGCAACTCGCGCATTATATGTCCGATGCCCGCAAAAAGCTTCGAGCTTTCTGAGAAAATGCCATTATTAACGCAACGAGAGAGAGAGAGAGAGAGAGAGAGAGAGTCGAAGCTCCTCGTCGTCGTCGTCGTTGGTGCGAAAATATTTCGTGTAACGTACAGTGGCGCGCTTGCGAAACATTATTTATGCGGCCGTTTAACGCGCGCGAGCTTTTCTTTTGTTCTTGCGCGCGTCGAAGTTAAAATTAAATCGCACGCGGGATCCGAGTAAAGGGGGTTTATTAAGTTTTAGTTCAGATATGGGGGGAAAAAAAAGGAAAGGATATATGAAGAGAGAAATAATTGATAGGCGCCGCGTTGTTGTAACGCACCCGCGTTTCGCGCGTTTGATTTACGTTACGACTCGACACCTATGGCTCCTTTTTCGTTGTTCGTTCGTTTTTTTTATATTCAACTCTGTACGCGCTGCCGCGAACCATTTCGCATTGCGGACGAGTAGTAGTGTAAAGCAAAAAAGAAAAGGAAGAAAAAGGGAGTGTATATAGCGCGCGAAAAAACAACAACAACAACAACAACAACAATACATTTGGAAAATTCATGGCTTTGTTAGCGGGTACATTTTATAGTCTTGAATGTGCGGTGCGCACGGGGCACTCTATACGCTCGCGCGCGCCCGAGTGCGAAAAGAAATGCCATTGGCCGGTCTATACGACGACTGTTTTCTACGCGTGCGTATGTGTGTGTTTACACACCCACCCACACACGATTTTATACCTCTCGACGTCGTCGACGTGCTGTGCAGGTCTAGTAGCGCAGAGATATATTATATAGCGTGTGTGTATGTGTGGCGCACTACCTAGCCAGCTCGGAGCTTTCGAGAGGGCTAGAGGATGAATCAATAATCTAATCCTCGAGGCAAGTATAGCTGGAGAGAGAGAGAGAGAGAGAGAGAACTTGCAGGCTTGGGTAATACGCGTATGCGGCACTTTGTATAAAGCTCCGGTGCAGGCAGAGAGAACAAGACGACGACGACGAGGACGCATTAGCTATGCCGCCACCGCTGCTATGTGCCACTCGATCTTATGTAACTCGAGACCCTTGGGACACTATAGCCTCTCTCTCCACTGCTGTTTGTTAGTGCGGGTGTTGGTGTATACACGTGTGTGTTTTTTTTTTCGCAACGAACAACAAAAAAAGTAAAAAAAAAAATTAATATTTCACGCGAAAGCTCCGATACCAGAGAGAGAGAGGCCAAAGCTTGCGAATATAATTCGCTCGAAATCTTTTTCTTCGCTCTTTGTTCGCTCACAACTTTGCGGCAAGTTTTCACTGAAACGCCCTGCCACCCTTATCTATATGTAATTTTTGCGCCGCGGCGCGCATTGAGCATTCAAAAGTTTGTTACGCCTGTGCATGTGCTGCTTTCGCGTGACACAACGGCGGTGTAACAGCAGCGGCGGTAGTACTTGGTTTTAAACTTGCGAAAAAAATCACCGCACGCGCGCGTCCTTTTTTCGGTTTTTACTTGGTGGTGGTGCGAGAGGAGAGCTTTTGCATATACGTACAACGTAAGAGAGTTAAACTACTCTTTTCGTATTATAATGCATGCATGCATATAAGTTCGAGGCGAAAGTAGTATACGGATGTAAGTAAGCTCCGATACACCTATTTATCGCTTAGGGTGTAGGTCAGTTGTAAAGAAGAGAAGAAAATAATAAGGAAACTTTGGCTTTTCTTGCATACGATATGTATACATGCGATATTTCGATCGTTATGATAATGAACTGGATGTACGAAGGCTTTTTATATTCGCTCCCGATGTAGTCGAAAAACCCAATAATTATCTAATTATCGTAATTGCCTCCGATTTCATTTTGTATATTAAATCATCGATCGATCTTCAACTACCATATATATGTATGTATCGAGTACTCTGATATCCTGATATAAATATAAATAAAAGTATCGAAATACGCTTAGCATCGATACATTACGGCATATATTTGAAATCTTCCGATAATTTCCCAATGGACGATTGTTGCATCGCCGTATATAATAGTAGTAGTAGTAGTGGTAGTGCACGCTCTGTAGCTGTGTACTGCACCTGAAAATATATATATCCCGACGCGCGGAGGCAATGAAATAGAAAAAAAAGGAGATAGAGAGAGAAAGAGGAAAAAGTATTAAAACCGAATCAAATATTGAATCATCGTCATTTTCACCGAACTCGTAATATACAGCAATACGATATCCATTATGCAACCCCGATGTAACTCGGAAGAAAAAAATAATAATAATAAAATAAATAAAACACGACTACTGGCAGTGCACTCGACTCCACTAATTATTTCAAGCCCGAATAAATATAATTTTCGCGTCGTGCGCTGCGGACACGGGCAGACATCTCAAAATCTCGGCTCCGTGCGGCAGCTGTATATATATATATCTTTTGCAAATTCTACACTCGCGCTCGTCCCATTCCAAAGTCGAGCGACGAGAGAGAGAGAGAGAAAGAGAGGAAGAAATGGACTGACACGCGTTACGCGCCGAGTTAGGCCGGGTTCGCGTACTCGAATTTTTCTATTTAGCGCGTATATATATCGCGAGTGCACATTGCGCCAAGAATGCGACTAATTAACGCAACGCGGGAGATGTACTCCTCTCTGCGATATCGGGCAAAATCTCTGTGGCTTTGAAAAGCCCATCCGAGAATATTTCGCGAATTATCGAATGGCTATCAGTTTTTGATCGAACGTGTCTCTGACACAATCGAGGGGTGGTATGGCATCGAGCATCGTCGTACAAATTTCATCGGTACTGCGCCTCTCGGAATGGTCGAAACTATTATCGCTCAACAGCAGCAGCAGCAGCAGCAGCGACGAGCTGCCCTACACGTAGTAATGTCTCGCTCGTAAAATTAATGCCTCTCTCGGCGCGACGTTCATGATTCATACACATATAACGTATACATTACACGATGTAAAATTCGGTTTAAACTATGCGCGGTTTTGGGCCTCGCAGTAGGGGGGTGGGATGCGTGGGATGGGGTTCATGATCTACGATTCGCACGTGAACATCGTCAAATTTTCGAAGTATATATCACGCGGGTGGGACGTTACGATTTATGTATCGTATGCGAGTTCGGCGGCGGAGGAAGATCGGACGTAGAGGGACACTTTTGTTGAAGAATGATTGTGAAACGAATCTGTGACAGAAAGTTGATTTACCTTGAAAATTTTATTAATATTTTTAAATGTAAATCATTGATTATACATAATGAGATAACATAAGAGAAAAGCGTAATAATCGTGAAAATTTTTAAATTACTCTTCCGAACATGTACAAAAAATTTCATACGTTCATTGAGTTGTAAAGCGAGAGTGATGAACCGAATCGATGTGCTTTTTGAGTGTATCCTTTCTTGAGGATTTCATACCGTAAATACCACATGCAAAAGTGGTGGCGCCAATATGGACTGAATCGATGTGTTTTTTGAGACCAACTTTGTGTGAGAATGTCTTTTGTCATATACCACACGCATGTCCAACACCATTATGCATCGAAACGATGTGTTTTTTTAGACCACTTTTGTATGAGAACGTCTTTTGGCACATATCACATGTGTACGTAATAATTTTATTATGCACCGAATGGATATGGACTTTGAGACTAATTTTTTGTGCGAACGTCTTTTGGCATACATCACATGCATGTCTAACACCATTATGCTTCGAATCGATGTGTTTATTGAGATCGCTTCTATGTTTATAGATATTCTCGCAAATGTCGCATGCATGTCTGACACCATTATGCACAGACTCGATGTGGCTTTTGAGAATATCTTTTTGTGTAAATATTTTCTGGCATATATCGCATGGATAAGTGATTTTACGATGTACCGAATTGATGTGTCTTTTGAGATTCGTTTTCTGTGTGAATATCTCTTGGCATATATCACATGGATGCGTGAATTTTTGATGCACCGAATCGACGTGAGTTTTGAGATTGCCTCTTCGTTTAAAAACATTTCCGCAAATATTACATGCGTGACTGACACCATTATGCACCGACTCGATGTGCTTTCTGAGATTACTCCTGTTTGAGAATGTCTTTTGGCATATATCACATGGATGCATGATTTTATAATGCACTGAATCGATGTGAATTCTGAGACTAACTTTAGTTGTGAATGACTTTCGACATGTATCGCATGGATGCGTGATTTTATTATGCACTGAATCGATGTGCTTTCTGAGACTATTCCTGTCTGAGAGTGTCTTTTGGCATATATCGCATGCATGCCTTATTTTACGATGTACCGAATCGATGTGGGTTTTGAGATTCGTTTTCTGTGTGAATGTCTCTTGGCATATATCACATGCATGCGTGATTTTGTTGTGCACCGAATCGATGTGAGTTTTGAGATAACCTTTTTGTGAGAATGTCTTTTGGCATATATCACATGGATGCCTGATTTTTTGATGCACCGACTCGATGTGGGTTTTGAGATCCTCTTTTCGTTTGAACACATTTCCGCAAATGTCGCATGCATATCTGACACCATTATGCATCGAATCGATGTGTTTTCGGAGTTTACTCTTGTCTGAGAATGTCCTTCCACATATATCACAGGCATTTGTGAAGCCCTTGTGGACTGCCTCAATGTGGCCTTTGAGATAACCTTTTTGAGTAAAAGACTTTCCGCATTTATCACATGAGTGGGTAATACCATGATGTATTGATAGGATATGCCTTTTCAGACTGCTGTTAGTTGAGAAATATTTTCCGCATGTTTCACATCCGTAATTTGTATCATTATGCACCGTACCTCGGTGTCTTTTGAGGTTATGTTCGTTGCTCAACTCTTTCGTTATTTTTCTTGTTTTTTTTTGCTCGCCACGTTTACAGTCTGAATTCAAATTCGATTCTTCTGCGGTGTTCACAAAAGATGCATGTTGTACTTCCTCCGTTGGTTCCATTTTAATCAAGTTTTGAGTTGTATAAACATCATTGTACTCCATGTCCTTCAAGCCATTTTGAGAATCTTCTTCAATTTTCTTAACTGCTAATAAATTAATGTTGGGCTTGACGTCTTCACATTCAACGACTAATTCAACATCGTTATTAAATTCACGTGGATGATTCAAGTCACTTTTTCGAAAGGTATGGATCTGTTGAAAAATCAAAACTATGTGAGAATTTCCTCAAAAAAGCAATACGAGTTACATACAATTATCCACACTCACTAAATTTTCTTGCGGAAATGATAAGAGTTGAAAGTTTTTTATATCGGGGTTTTCGTCAATCATATCATAATCATTTTTACCTCGAGACTCATCATAACATTCCTCTTTGACTCTGAAATAACCTCAATCAGATCAAGTAATTTGTTATGATATTTTGATAATCTCATTTTTTTAAAAACAAAAAATTACCTGACAGCGCAATTGAACGAACCACTGGATTCCATCTTTATACCTTGAAATTTTGATAACAATTAATTCTGCAACGATGATCGAACTAATTACACGGGAAAACTGGCGAAGAGCACTACGAGAGCTGTGTTGTTTACGTCGCGCGTATAACATGCCCCGACCTCTCCACACGTGTATCGCCGGGCGCGCAGTATTTTACCGTGAATTCCACAATAGCGCTACGTTACGCGAAGGACAATGTGAAGCTGAGCTTTGCGTACGCGCGGTTTTTCAAAATATTTTAGCGAGCAGAGCGCAGTGCTCTACGTCAGTCATTCTGCGTACGTCATAAATTTAATTTCGAAGTCAGCCACGAAAACGGAGCGAAACCGAGTAATTTATAATTGCGGGAATGTGGAAGATTAAAAAGTGATTCTACACTTGATACGCGAATCGCACTCATCATATAGAGCTATTGTAAATTAATATATCAAAGCCGGCATTTTTTATCCTATTAGCTAAATCATACCCTGCTCTTGGTGTTATATTTTGGATCGATTGGTTACGACCGATTGCTGCGTATTATAGTAAAATTTCAATCGCAATGAAACATTATTCTGATCTATTGAAAAAGTTTCGCCTATCATTCTGGGAGCGCTTTGAGCAATGACCCCGCAGCACTTAATTACTAAAAATTATTAGATTGGATACTTTCCAGTGCGTTTGCAGTTTGAGATATTTTATGAAAATGTTCGTTTGTCTGAAAACTTGACGGAATAAATGAAGAATTTTCATAGATATTCAAATTATAAAGACGCAGCTCTGTCATTGAGCAAAAAGTTATTAAAAAGTAAATTATAAAGTATCATACCTTAGACAACTCGACGAATTTCCCAGTTTTCGTAATTAGTCGACGAAATATAATATTTGATTTTAATGATATTACAGCCGAGCAATTATATCATTGAAAATAATATTCAAAAAAATAAAATCAACCGTCAAGGAATGCGTAGCTCGCCATATTATCATTTACTTTTAATAAACTTTTCTGGAAAAAATACCCCTATTTGAAATTCATTAAGCGGAAATTATAAAAAATTGATTTCATTAATATCGCAGCTAAGTAATTATCGACGAAGACTCAATTCCTTTGAAAAATAACGTCTATATCTAGGCGAGGCTTTATTATACACAGGTGCGCGCGTCTTGTCTCGGCCTCGACTACATAAACTGGACCCTTCGGGGCGCGCACCAGCGGCAAGCTTCGATGCCCTATCTTACGCTTTACATTTATAATATAGATGTATACAATACTTATGCTGCTGCGGTGGCACGAAAAAGGCTTTTATGCCGTACGTAAGCAGCTTTTCCGCTTTTCTGACAAGTCTCTCTCTCTCTCTCTCTCTCTTTCTCTCTCTATCTCCAGCTGTATACAGAAGAGATCCTCGACTCGCGTAGGGCGCCGCGCGTTCGAGCGCATATTAAATGTTGAGCAATTACATTTGTTAGAGCCGGCGGTCGGTTCTCTTACGCTTGGCTTACCTCCCACGCACACACACACACACACACACACAGACACACATTTCTCGTGTGTTATCAGGCATACACGCCACTCACGTTATAGATATGTTCGTACGATTGTACGCATTTGCTCTCTCTCTTATACGTTTATAATGCACGTTTAGAAAAGACAGGGAGAGAGAAAGAGAGAAAAAGATAAAACGAAGTTATTTGCGGAGCGCCTCGTTGCTATACGTATATACTTTGCTGCACGCATTAATCTTTTGCAAGCTCAGTTCTCTCTCTCGCGCGCGCGCGAAATTTCGCCTTCGCGTTACGCGCGCATAACGTCAATAAGCTTTAACGAGCTTCACGAGCCGAACGAGAGCTTTGAAAGCTCTATGAGTCGAAATGTCTGTGTGTGTGTGCAGGCATCAGCAGCATCAGGCAGGCCTTTAAAAGATGCACCCAACTAACGGATGGAAAATATATTATATAGACTTCTCTCTCTCTCTCATCTACTACGCGCGTCTATTGCTTGTCAGTCCGCGACGACTCGAGAGCAGCAGCGGCGGCGGCTCAAGGTGCCTATGTACCTGCGTGTCTATGCGTGCATATAAAATGTAACGCTTGCTTTGCCGTTAAAAGCGTGTCTGCTCGCGTGCATTTGCGGGGAAAATTTATTTATATAACGCGGTGCCCGAAAACATCGCCGAAATCGGCGCGGTCGTATACTTAGCATTAAACAAACGACGCGACGCGACGCGCAACAGTCATCAAAGCGTTGTATGTATAATGCCTTTCGCTGTCCGCCGCATAATGGGAATCCGAGCGCGCGTACAGCGCATGATTGACTTCGAATATTGTACGTATAGGACGTTTTTGTTTGCTTGTGTATGTGTGTGTGTGTCTTCTCCGATGACAAAGGGATTGACTCTTGGCTCTTGATAACTCAACCTCGTCTCTCGCGTTTATATCTATACGTATAAGTCGGTGCGCATCGATTGACGAGGATTTGCATTATCTCGAGTCAACGGAAATCGCACGATCACCAGCCAACGGCAGAAGCTGAGCGAGAGAGAGAGAGTTTGCAAGTCAAGCCTTGCTCGTTACGTACGAGCCCTATATATCTCTATCCTTCTCCCTTTTCCCTTACTAAGCGAAAATTACCAACTATACAGCAAAATTCAGCCGCGTGCCTACGGAGGCTAATACCATGTGAACTTGTTGCTGTTCGATTAAAATATTCTCCTCCCGGACTTGCACTGGAGCGAATCCCCACGAAAGCAAAGCCTGAGTAAGATTCAATAGAGAAATCAGTAAAATTATACAAATCTAGACATATTACTGTACTGCTCTCTTCACTTGTCACTTCGAGCTTCGAGACCTACCACCAGGTGGCGCATCTCGAAAAAGTCGCTCCCGCGAGTGGCAATCCTCTTTTCATAATACTAATAGGAGCAATTTATCGTCTACAAACTTAGGACTCTTGCTGTAATTAGTCTTGCTTCTTAATTCCATGATTCATTGCTACCTCTTCGATGGATGACAATGCAGCCACTTTTTTTTTTATTTTGTTGCGCAGGGCGTATCTGCTTTTGCAGCCTATTTTTTTCTCAACCGCTGCCAAATAATGGGCCCCATTGCAACCCGCGCTACTTTTGGGCAGGAATGGAATAGCTCCTGCGATCTCTATCGTATGGCTGCCCTTACGTGATCTGCAATTAGAGTATAAAAGCTACGTAAAAAACGAGAGCTCCACGTATAAAGATGAGCCTGCAAAGTAAACGCGCTATATTACATCTGTAATATATAACCTGTAAAAGCACGTCCTGGTTGCCGCCAACCGCTTCGTACATGCCATTGGGATGTGGTGGCTGGGTGTACAGAGGGTACCAATTTCCGATTGGCCATGTGTGTAACACACACACACACACACGCCGCTGCTAACATCGATAGCGCGCAAGCTGAATCAGCGCTCTCTCGTAGACTTTATACATCGCGAGAGAGATTTATAATATCGCATTATACCGGGATACGCGCGTCTTTTTTGTTTCTCGCTACACCGCACAGCTCTTTGAATTCAAAGCGACCGAGTTTATATTTCTTGTATTTTAACGATACCCAGTTTTTCACGCGCGCAGCGGCACGCAAAATGGTGTTGCACCGCGATACAATTACTGCATGCGAGTTCAGAAAATATGTTAAATATTTCACCGCGCATTGACGTCGCGCGCGCGATACGTATCGTTTTCGATCGTATCGATTTTTCAAACGCGCCACAAAAGCGTCCTCGTAAAAAAAGTCGCCTGGTGCAGTGGCGGTGTACGAAAAAATCAATGTTCGGTATGTACCGCGCGTCGCGAGCGAAATTCCGCAATCGTCCGTACGTATACACTTCTATACGATGTAATGTAACGCGGCGTACGAAGAGCCATTCATCGCTCGGTCGCTCGAAACTTTCTCCCGTAAGTTGGCGCGCGCGCGGGTCTCTTTGTGCCTTCTCCAAAGTTTATATATACCGATAAACGTGCATTATATATGTATAGATATAATAATACAATATAAACGGGTCCCATTGAGCCACACTGACGTCTCGTCGGTATACCGTCAGGAATATCATTGAGAAAAGTTGGCGTAATAATGAAGTAAAATACATATAATAAAGAAATAGTATACACCCCCGAAATCATTAGTAAAGTTTTTCGTCACTTTTTATTACGTACCTATCATAAGAGCCCGCCCGAATTTAATAACGTCGACGATCGCGGTGCACGATCATTCGTGCGCGCCGCCGCCTCTGCAGTGTTTCATTTCATAATTGCTCTCCGCCGCCGCGGCATCCGCTCATCGCATCATCGCATCGTGGGTATAACTAATGCAGTGAACCGATCTCCTTCTGTAACTATACGAGAGCTTTCATCATCATTACACGTGTTACACGCACAGTTACGACTTTACCGTGTATAATAAGTACGCGAGGATTTTCAATTTCTCCGCGAGGTAGATAGATAGAGAGAGATATATACGCGCGCATGTAAAGTGGAAGTTATACAAATTTTCCAAAGCCGGATTTAACGCAAAGGATTTCTATCCTCTCTCGCTGTCTTAAAATCTTCATTATTATGTAAGGGATGTTTGTTTTGCGAGATGGAATTTTCAGGATAGCGTATATAATAATCTAGCGCCGCCTGCCGCTACGAAGGCAATTTACATTATAACCCAAGCTGTATTATATTGCCCGACGAGTTAAGCGCGCGCGTAGCGTAGTTATAACGACGAATGCATATTGCAGCACGTATACGTGCTTTACGAATTTTGGTTTTCAAACGAGAGGATGAAAAAAAAAAATTAACGTATGCATAATGTGGTACTTTAGCTGAGCAGTCGCTCGTGTGTACGACGACGACGACGCTACGCGCGCAACCTTGAACGACGTATACGATCGCTCGGCGTCAATGTCGCGCTTATTATGCGCACGACGATAAAAGAGCCATACCAAAAAAAGAACACCTGCAACTTCTCTCTCTCTCTCTCTCTCTCTCTCTCTCTCTCTCTCTCTCTCTCGGCTGCAATTCGCGTTATTAAAGGCTGCATTTTTGGGTGAATGGTGCTGCTGCAGGCGCAATTACATCGCCTCG